ATTCGTAATTAGCGATCCAAGAAATCATCTATAGATAAACTCTCAAATAAAATATGACATTATTTGCTCTCACCAATTTTAGTACCAAACGTTGATTTCGAATCACCAATGAACTGGTTAATACGTTTTCTTGACTCAGATTGTGCCAATTTAATATACTATTGATTATATGCATTATAAATATTAAGATGGTTTAATATAAAATTACTATTTAAAGATAGTGTATTAAATGATCGGTACAGATTAACACTATGTCGACTAACATACTATTCTAAATAAAATTAAATAAATTTAGAGACATAAATAGTAGTTCTCAAAAATAGTTTTCAAGCAAAATATCAAGATATCACTATTCTCAAATGTCCTTCTTATCATGCTTATAAAATAACGATAAAAATAAGGAACAACAAAATATTTATTAAATTGCCATAATACTTTGTGTATAATGATGTATTTACATTATTTATTACGTATAATACGTTCCATTGCGTTACATTAATTCAATATGTACTTAACATATACTACATTATTTATATAGATCTCTTTATAATGCCAGTGGGAGCATAGTATTATATACAAATTTTTTTGTTTTAGAAAAGAATATTGAGTAAAATAAAATATGAATGAAGAGACGTAGAAAATACAAATTCAATTAATTTGACAAAAAATGACCAGTATAATACATATTTGCATACGTAATAAATTTTATTAATAAGTTGAAAAATATTGTATATTATGTACAATATTAGCAATCTGTAATTTTAGAAATATTTTTTTTAATGTTCAAATATAGACAAGTTTCAAATAAGTGTTTAATATAAAAATTAACAAGTTATAACACACACACACACACATGTACACACACATGTACACGCACATGTACACACACATGTATACACACATGTACACACATATATACACACACATACATACATACATACATATATACATATATATGTATATTTATTTATTTATTTATATACATATATATTTTTTTCTTTTTGTATATATATTATATATATACAGGGTGTCCGAAACCTTTGTTGACACAAATCGTAGGAAAGTAGAACGGATTAAACGGAACAGGAAAATCAAATACCATTTTGCAAAATTCGCAATAATTTTCGAGGAATTATTTTGTCTGAACAAATTAGCGCTCGTGCCGGTGCGCGACCATGATACACGCGAATTGCGGCTCGCTGCGTTCCTCCGCCCATAACTACGATGTGTCTCATAGGCATAGTTACGATAGTTATGAGATGCAGCGTAGCTGGGTGGAGGGACGCAGCGAACGACGATTCGCGTGAATCACGGTCGCGCGCCGGCCCAAGCGCTAATTTGCTGAGACAAAATAATTAATTACTCGAAAACTATTGCGAATTTCGCAAAATAATATTTAACTTTTTTGTTCCGTTTAATCTGTTCTACTTTCTAACGAATTGTGTCAAGAAAGATTTCGGATACCATGTATCCGAATGTGTATATATGTATGTATATGTATATACAGGGTGTAACAAAAGTATCAGTATCCCTAAATAAATTTCCAGAATCGTATTTTCCGAGAAAATCATTCAGACAAAAGTTGCATAGTTTTGACTTAGCGATTCGATGGTGACCTTGTCTTTGACTTCGAAGTCATTTTTCGAGGTCATTTCAAGGTCAACTTTTTTTTAAATGAAAACCCCCATTTTTTCCAGAATCGGAAAGAGCGAGAAAATTTACATTCAGATATGTATTTGACTCATGGGTCCAAAGGATCCCTCAAGATCATTTTAAGCTCACATTATTTGAGTATAGTAATGAATCACGAGGCAGGTGGCTTGGTGAGAAACGTTTTAGACAAAAAATTTAAGGTTTTGACCAAGCGATTAAATGGTGACCTTGTCTTTGGCCTCGAGGTCATTTCAAGGTCAACTTTTTTTTTTAATGTTCGAGATAATGTTTTTGGACGAAAGTTGTAGGGTTTCGAACGGGGTATTCGTTGGTGACCTTGACTTCGCCCTTTGACACATCCTGAGAAATCTTTTCAAGGTCAACTTTAAACTTTTAAACGGAAACCCCTATTTCTCGAGGTCAAAGACAAGGTCACCATCTAATCGCTTGGTCAAAACCTTAAATCTTTTGTCTAAAATGTTTCTCACTAAGCCACCTGCTTCGTGATTCATTACTATACTCAAATAATGTGAGCTTGAAATGACCATGAGGACTCCCTTGGACCCATGGGTCAAATACATATCTGAATGTAAATTTTCCCGCTCTTTACAATTCTGGAATAAAAATGGGGGTTTCCACTTAAAAAAAAAAAGTTGACCTTGAAATGACCTTGAGGTCAAAGACAAGGACACCATCGAATTGCTAGGTCAAAACTATGCAATTTTTGTCTGAATGATTTTCTCGGAAAATCCGATCCTGGAAATTTATTTAGAGTAATGATATTTTTGTTACATCCTGTATATGTATGTGTATGTATATACACACATATATATATATATACATGTACATATATATATATATATACATATATATATACATATATTATATATATACACATATACACATATATATATATATATATATATATATATATATATATATATA